GTTGGATAAAGCACAGGGACAAATAGCCAAATGAATGGAAACACATGAACTATGAACCAATGGCTGAGGGGTCCACACTGGATCAGGCCCTCCGAATGGGTGAGACAGTTGATTGGCTTGATCTGTTTGGGAGGCATCCAGGCAGTGGGACCAGATCTTGTGCTCATTGCATGAGTTGGCTGTTTGAAACCTGGGGCCTATGCAGGATTGTTTGGCTTGGCCTGGGAGGAGGGTACTAGACCTACCTGGACTGAGTCTACCAGGTTGACCTCAGTCTGTGGGGAAGGCTTTACCCTGGAGGAGATGGGAATGGGGGGGGGGGGGCGTTGGGGGGAAGGTGAGGGGGACGGGAGGGGGGAGAACAAGGGAATCCGTGACTGATATGTAGAACTGAATTGTATTGCAAAATAAATTAAAATAAATTAAAAAAAAAAAAAATCCCTGAGTTGTTAAGTGTGTTTTTCTTCCCTAAATCTCTGAGATTCTGAGTCAGGGAAACTCTCCAAGTAGCTAGAATTATCATCCCTCTGCAAGACTGGCTGGTTTCCTCTTGTGTGTTGATTTTAAGAATATGGCAACAAATTATGAAGAGATTAATTTTCTAAGAAATCAAAGATTGTTACTGCTACAGTTTAATTATGAGTCCTCCCAAAATCTGTATATTAAACACTCGCTCATGAGCCCACAGGACTACTGACTGGGGCAGGCAGCACCTTTAGAAGCTGAGAGGAGGAAGCCAGGTCACTGGGGATGCCACCCTTGAAGGGGACCTCTGAACCCTGACTTCCCTTCCGTTTCCCAGACATTGTGAATGGGCAATCTCTTCACCACTTGTCCGCCACCGTACATACACGTCCCAGTGACAAGGGCCCAAAAGCTGAGACCTCCGGGACCAGGAAGGCAAGTCAATGCAAGCCCCTCCTGCTTGTAAACTGACTATCTCAGCTTCTGTCCCAATGGTGGGAAGCTGACACCTCACCCACCATGACACATTCACTGAGTGAATCTCCGGAGAGCTGCGTTTGTTTTTAACTCACTGAGTAATACCGTTTCTTTCGGGTGTTTGTGTCTCAGTGTTAGGTGACAAATCCATCCCCTTCTCACAGCAGGGACAAAACTCTAGTTTGTGCCATAAAGTCACATTTGCAGGGGTTTTTTTTTCCCCCTTATAGTCATGGCTGCAATATTGGTCCCTCATGATCAACACTACATTACGTCATTCTATAATTAGGGAAGACCGAGGAGGGAAAGAAGGGGGCTTTAAGAGATATGAGGCCAGCAAGTAAAAGTTTTAGCCAAACAAGACTAACGACCTGAATTCAACTCCCGGATCCCATTATGGAAGCAGAGAACCAATAATTAAAAGTTGTCCTCTGACCCCCTCACATATAACATGACGTGCACGCAGAAGCATAGGGACCTGCACACGCACACACACACACACACACATGCACACACACACGCACACACACACACACACATACACACACACACACACACACACAATTTGACTTTTTTTATTGAAAAATTGTTTTTCATACAATATATTCTGATCATGCTTTTCCCCTCCCCCAGCTCCTCCCAGCTCCTCCCTATCTCCTCATTCACCCAGCTCCCCATCTTTTCTCTCTCTCTCTCTCTCTCTTGGATTTTCGAGACAGGGTTTCTCTGTGTAGCTTGGCTGTCCTGGAACTCACTCTGTAGACCAGGCTGGCCTCAAACTCACAGAGATCCACCTGCCTCTGCCTCCCAAGTGCTGGGACTGAATCACCACCACACCCTTTCTCAAACAAACAAAAAACCCAAAGAGAAATAGGCACACATATAGACCCCCCCAAAAAAAAAAAACCTGAAACCAAAATATACAAGTAAAAGACCAAAAAACAAACTATGCCCAACCAAAGCAATTTGAGACACAAAGTATACAAAAATATCACTGAGTTCATTTTGTGTTTCTACTGCTGGGCATGGGGCCCCACCCTGAAGTGTGGCTAACATACTCAGGGATACTCTACTGAAGAAAACTAATTTTTTCTTTGCAAGTAGGTATCAATATTATAGAGAGCTTCTTGGTTAGGGGTGGGAGCCCACAAGTGTGCACGCATGCATACATGCACGCGCGCATACTTACACAAAAGAAAATTTGATTCTTTAAAGTGCAGCAATTCCCATTATCAACTGTACATTCTGCCATGTGGTAATTGTAGGGTTTCTCACAAGTTTCTAACGTCTCCATTTTCATACAACTAGTTGTTGGGACTGAGGTCTTTTTTTAAGTCACACTGTGCCTTACTATCACTTTGACAGCTCCCTAAATCATACACATACAACCCCAACTTCAAGTTCTCTCAGTAAAAGGAGTATACACCAAATCAATAAAAATCAACGTAACTCTCCTGAAAGCAATTCTAGCCCTTTAAAATCACCTGGGGCTTTTTTGTGTTTGGTTTTTAATTTACTTGGGTTTCACTTTGTTTTGTTTTGTTTGTTTAGAAGGAAGAAGTTGCTACCCTTCATAAAATAGTTTAGCATGTGTGGAACACGAGGTAAGCCTGAAGTACTCATCCCCTGAATTAAGGTAGAAATTAAGATACAAATGAGTTAGACTGTGTGACAGAGTGAAATCACTAGCCCAAACTTGATGGCTCCTAGAGCAACCCTTGATGCTCATTGTATTTTATTCCCTGTTGAGAATTCCACAGGACAGAAATGGCCTCAGAAGGACACACAATCATAAAAGTATTCATGTTATGGCAACACACTGGCAGCCTCCTTAACTCCAGAAACAAAAGGAAGCTCTCTGTGAGAGCAGTGGCCTTCAACCCTTTTAACATCCTCTCAAAATTAATGGCCTGTATCCCAAGCTTAGGTTTATTTACAACTTGTACACATGGACTACTCTGCTGATATATACATAGTAAAACACTTAAATATAGCAAATCCCCAAAAGATGAGAGGAAAAGAAATGTTGAGTCAAATACTCCTACTCTCAATGGATGAGTTAGCACATGGCCTACATGCATACCCACTTAAGTATGCTTTCATCAGGGCTTACGGTCCAATTACATCTTGCCATAGAACTCAGAGAACTGGTAAAACCTAAAAATACCCAGCAATAGTATCCTAAATCCCACATACAAATAATCCCCAACATTCTATGTTGGAAGAATTATGCTTAGGTAAGAAATCATCCTTGTAAAAGATTCATCAGCGAAGAGTCCTCTGTGAAAGCTTCAGCTAGTCACACACAGGAGCAGCAGAGTCCCTCTGCCTGGCATCAGCTTTCAGGTAATAGGCATTTAGTACCCACAATGTGTTGCTGTCTGTCACAGAAGAGCTGGAGGCCTGAGCAAGGACAATGTGGAGGGTGAATAGTTCTAGGAACAGACTGCTGTATTCAAATTCATTTCCTGCCCCATGCTAATTTCCATAAACCATCTATGTATCTGAGGCTTAGATTCCTTAACTCTTAAATGAGAATAAAAATAGACACCTGTTATACAGTTAAAAATTCAAAGATGGTGAAAATGTTAAGTTGTAAAAAGTTGTATAAATGTAAGAAGTAGTAAAACTTTTCCCATTTATCATCTCTTAAAAAACTAAACTAAAAGATAATTATTACAAAAGAGCATATGCCGGGCGGTGGTGGCACACGCCTTTAATCCCAGCACTCGGGAGGCAGAGCCAGGCGGATCTCTGTGAGTTCGAGGCCAGCCTGGGCTACAAAGTGAGTTCCAGGAAAGGCACAAAGCTACACAGAGAAACCCTGTCTCAAAAAACAAACAAACAAAAAAAACCAAAAGAGCATATATTCTGCACAAGTTAATTTTTCTTTCATGTCTCAGACCACCTGCATTCCAAGTCCCAACCCCGTAGCTCCTCTTGGCATACCCTGGTGTAACTGACAGATGTTCCCTCTGGTGGATACTAAAATGTACTGTGTATGGTATATATACATATACATGTATATGTATATATATATATGTATATATATATATATATATATATATATATATATATATATATACATATATATATATATCCAGCCATCCAGCCATCCAGCCATCCAGCCATCCCAGAGGTGAAAGTGAGCAAGACAGCTGGATGGAGGCTGGGAGGCAGGGGGCTCCTGAGGTCACAGCATCTTCTTCTGACTTCTAGAGGACCCAGGCAGTCCTTTGTATTCCCAGGCACAGCAGAATGACTGGGCAACTGCTTTAGTAGTGTTGAAGGGGTATAAGAGTTATGCTCTCAAAGTTCTGGAGCCCTGCAAAGTCTTTTGTGTCCAGGAACACAGAGCTGTCCTTCGTGGATTAAGTCATTGACAATGATTTACACAAATATTTTTTAAAGCTTCAAAATTTATTGCTATACATTTCCTCATAGCATTCACTATGGAAATAGTGCAAATATTTATTTTGAACTCTATAGCATTTGAAAGATCACAAAGCTTTTGATATCTTTTGCAATCATTTATGAAGATCTATATTAAACTTGTATTATTTTTAAAATTTAAATAATATAACATTCAAAGAGATTATATAATGCTTTCTAGAGGAAAAAAAATTTTCTGGAAGCCATTGGGCACTATCTTGATAAAACTTGTTTTCTAACTGCATGAGTCTTTATTCACTCACAAACTCATTCAACAAATACTTATTGACAAGCACATTCCAGGCATTAATCAAGGCCCTGGGGGGCTCTAAGATGGAAAGACACCAGCTCTGCTTTTACGTTGATTACAGGTCATTTCAGAGACAGACATGCAAAACACTTTTTACAATACAATAAAGTGCCTCCACAGAGGTATTTACAAAATACAGTGGGAACTTGGACAAGGGAAAGAGCATCTGCCTGGAGAAATGGGGGCGACAGCACGGACGAGGTAGCCATTGAGCTGACACTTACCCGTGACCAGAAACTTGCCATGTAGACCGGCAGGCGAGGGGAAGGGAACACACGGGTGTACAGACACCGAAGCCCAGCAGAATTCAAAGGAGCAAGTGAACAGCAATGGGGACAGTAGCAGGGTGAGGCTACAGCTACAAGATCAGTTAGAGTCTTTTGACCATTCTTCCTATTATTTTTTTCTTTTTTGAAACAGACTCGAGTGCTTGTCTGTTTACATGCAATCGACTAAGTGCTGGGAAGCCTTGCTCTCACAGAGCTTACATTCTATGAAAGAGACAAAGAACAACCAATCAAATACAGGTTTCAGAATTCCCTATAAAGAAACAGGGTACTGGAAATAAAGCTACAAGCACAGTCAGGGTTACCGACAAACGCCTCTTAAACACAACAGGATGACGGTGACAGCATTCTCCTGAGTGCACCCACTAAGTGGCAGGCACCTTCCCAAACGCCTTGCAAACACCATCTCCCGGAATCCTCACAACTCTATGAGGTAGGTATTGTTATTCCTGTTTCACTGAGGAGGAATAAACTCAAGGAGACTGAGGGCCCTGACAAGTCACACAAAGGCCAAGTCTAGGATAAGATGTGGGTAACTGCAAAATTCATGTTCTGACATTGGAACCTGCATTTAAAGGCAAGTGAGGAATTCAGAGCAGGGAAGGGGCATGATCACCTCTGCTTCTTTAGAGAACAGAGGAGGAAGAAGAAGGGACAGTGGAAGAAAGGAAGCTATTCAAAAGTCCAGAGGGAGGGAAGAGGGTTCCCATGAACTTAGTGGTTGTGGAAGGAAGGAGGTGAGGGGTGGGTGTGATTAACTCAGTACTTCTAACAGGACTGACAGATGCTACAAGCAAGGAAATGAGCAACATCCAGCATCATTCCTGCATTTCTGCCTTGTCCAACTGAAGTTGACTTTGAGCCAAGTTGAAGAATCCAAGATGATGGTGGGCTTGTGGCCATAAAATGGTGAATTTAATTTTGGACATGTCCTGTGGGTATACTGAGCACATCACAGCCTCATGTGATGGTCACCAAGATACCACTTTATAATGGCTTTTACACACCTTGTTTCTACCTGAGCAAAGTACACAAGGAAAAACTACTAAAGCTTTGTAGTCTGTACACTGTCAGTTTGCTTTCAAAAACCTGTTTAGAGAAGTTTGTACAGTGGGTTGGATTGTGTTGTAAAAAGAGTATCTGATCCCAAGACGAGGTTGCACGTGGAGTCGGGAGCTTGGGGTGGGAGGAGAACAGCTTCCGGAAAGCCATTCTAACCGTAGTCCCAGCTCTTTAAGAGATATCAAGGTTAACTCCAAGACACCTAGCCTGAGTCACTCTGATGGCCCCTAGCAGGGATCCTCTGGCTACAATCCTCCTGGAGCCTGCAAATCTGCCCATTCATCTACCAGCAGGGATGTTTCAAGAAAACTGGGGGCCTAAGGTGCAGACATAAAAATTTAATAAAATCAGAAATTCCGATAAGTATTGTTACAGTTTGGCAATAAAGTTCAAAAAGCAGAGCAGCCCAAACTCAGCTAGTCGTACAGCTTTGACAATCCTGCTGCTCCCTCCTTCCCTGGATGAAAAGCGTGCTGGAGGTCCTGGTAATTATTAGTGAAATTAATATGGTGGAATGGCTACCCACTACAGGTAAGGAAGGGCACAGGTGACATGGATGCAGAGATGGTCACAACCCTGACCACACTACTTCCTTCGGGTCTAATTTTATTTTGTTCTTTTTTTTTTTTTTTTGGTGCTGGGACCTGAATGTAGAGACTCATGTATGCTTAGCATGTGTGCTCATTTAAAATGAACATAAATACAGCACAGGTCCAGCACATAAATGCATCAACTGCCCCTATAAAGCAACATTATTTTGGCTCCATTTTTCATAATTTCCTTATAGCTACTCCCTCTTGTCTTTGGCTCAGATCAATTTATGTATGTTTTAATTTAAAAAACTCACTGAATATTTAATGCCAGTTTTAATAAATAAATATCAAGCTATTTCAGTGGTAATAAAGTTAGGCTTCTAATAGAAGAGAAAAATTAATACTTTGGTCAGATACTGATTAGTAAAGCATCACACTCTGGCTCATAAAACCACTTCTTAGAGGCTGCCTCACGGTGTAAAGGCTCTGAAGTGCTCTATAGACTTAGTAAGCTAGTGGATATTAGAAAGGGGAAATATCCCAGGCAGAGCAAGTGCAGCTTCAGGCAGCACCTACCTAGATAGGGGCCTTGTATACATACCTAAGTCATGTCACAGGGAAGGAAGAGGCTGACTTTTGTAGCACTATCCAAAGGACTACTCCCAGGCAAGAAGAGAAAACTGAATGGCAGAGACAATATGAAGCTTCTGGTGAGACAACCCCTATGAAGAGAAGTCTGCAGGCACACTGCAATACACCAGCTACTTCCCACCACCTCCATTTCCAAGCTAAGGCCCGGGGTCAAAGTTGAACGTGGATCAGAAATGGTATCCAAGGGCTATGACTGTGTGTGTTCTTTAACAGAAGAAGTTCCAATCAGTCTGTGAATATAATCATTTATTTGTCTTTACAGTGACGATGAAAGAATGTACAGGTATCTTCTTTCAATAAAGTATAAAAATCTGTTTATATACAGTGAAGTCATAATAATCTTTAGTGGGGAAACGTATTTGGTACTCTTGATCTGTTTATATTAAAACTGTGGGGGAAACAAATATCTCATGTAAGTGCTACATTTCCAGTAGATTGCACCTGGCATCAGAAGCTCCACTTCATTTTAAGGGTCCTGCTTGATATTATAAAAGACTAATTTTAAGTCCTAGGACTCAAAATAAACATCATTTGGAATAATAGATATATACATCAAAAATACATCTAGAAAGGCATTGGTTAGTGCTAGTAAAAAGCTCTATGTGCTCAGGTACACTTTTTTCTTACAGGCGAAACCCGGTGGAAATGTTTTAATTCCATTTCTAGCAATTTGCTCTTGGGGAAGGTCAGTCGAAAGTTACCTGTGAAGACAGAAGAACAATGACTTCTCAGATGAAAGGTCAGTAAGACTCACTAAGAATCCCATCTTCACAGTCCTGGGAGAACACTGAGCTCCAGGACTGGATGGGGATGGCTGAACACCATAAGTCACTGGATCCTTTAAACTCTGGTATGCCATTCTGACGACTTTTAATACCCAGTTTACTGTCAAAGAATCATATATATTATTGTTTATACAATATTTCTGGTCTACAATTAGCTAAAACAGCATAAAAAGGAAACTCATGGGGCATATAAATAAAATATTCTAACAGACAACAGCCAAACCCAATCCTATTTTTGAGACAATTCTACATAATAATGGTTTCTTGTACTTCACAGCATCTGCAGATGCGCTTGAGGCTTCTCCTGATTACCAGAGTGAGACGTCACTGTGCAATTGAAACTGAACAACTGGTGTCTAATACAGTTCATTCTCGGCTGCATGGTTCAACACATTCGTTTCTGTCACTATTTCCTTTTCGTAATCATTCCTAAAATGCTTGATAGCCTGGGTACTTATATGTAAGTGTCAAATTTATGTCATATAGAAGATCTTGGCACATTTCTTAACTAAATAAATAACCTAAATAAACAAATGTGCATCATTCTTGCATATACAGAATATTAGAAAGAGCACGAACATGAGGAGGCTAGCGTGCCAAGGAAACCGAATCTTAGAAGACTCCATCTGTTACGAGCCACGTGAAGCTGGCCAGCCCCACCCGTTACCCACCTATAAGCTAGAGCCCAACCTCTTCTACACATAAGGATAAACATCTAATCAGGCTGTGTAATCATGCTTCAGGACTTTACATGCATATAGGCTAAACCAGTAGATTATGTGAATGTAATTTTAATGCTTAAGAATATTCTAAGTTTTCTACAAGCTACAAGTCTAATGGCCTGGTCTAACAATGCCTTCTTGAGGTCAGACTATAATATGCATAAGTCTATGCTTATTGAACATATAAAAATAATGGTCATTTTTTAAAAGAATTATTAAAATTCAATCATTTTCAACAGTTAGTTTGTTACTAGTGAGATGCACACTGTGCAAGACTGTGAGCAGGGGCAAGCTCCTGTCCATGGAGGGTGCCTTAACACCTGCTTGCTAAGGTGAGCCCTCTGAGTGCTGCCTGCAGAGCAACCCAGAAGGCAACCACCAAGGAAGCAAAGGTCTCGGTAAGTCTTAGCTGCCAGGCTCCTGATGCCCATGCTGACGTCAGGAGTAAACTCCGGAAGAGAAGAAAACAAAACAAACCAGAACCAGACTGACAGGAGAGAAGTGCCATCCCAGATTACATCTTGACACGATGGCACCGAATACTGCATGCGAACAACAGCAATGCAGACCCCCTCCCTGGCTCCTTAGACACAGTGGCTAGGACTTCAGACCACAGGAACATGCTCCAGACTTCTCTCTGGGAGATTTAACACATACTGAATGAGCTCATCAGATTCCTACAGTGCAACCTTTCAGCTTGGAAAACAAAGTGCAAAACGGCCACACAGTGTCTTCCTTCCTATCCTCAATGAGTAAATAAAAGGTTTAAACTAGGACTGAACCAGGTCCCCAGTCAGGAAATAGAATACAGAGAACTGAACTGCACTGAACTGGATCTGAACTACATGCAGGTCAGGAAATTCCGGGACCGGATGTTTGCTCTCCCCAGCCATGTCAACAGCAGACGTCACAGTTACTACTTGGTTGCACTGTCATCACGGGCACTATTAAAGTACGGAGAAGCACTCAAGGGAAGGGAAGGCATCCGACAATTAAAGCCACCTTCTCTCACCTCCCTCCCTGAGCTCTGCTCCTCGAGCAAACATGACTCCCAGTCAGCAACTCCAGTGGAAACCCAGTTCTTCCCTCCACTGCCTCAAGCTCGCTTCCGATCAGCCACCAGTCAGGCTGATTCTACCACCAGACATGTCTCAGATCTACCCTTTCCTGCTCACCTCTCCCATCACCTTCAGAAAGTCACCACTGTCCCTTACTAGACTACCATAGCAACATCTCAACGGGTCTCCCTGCCTCTCAGCTTTCTCTACTCCAAGCCAAATAAGCAAATGATCACACCTTCTCCAAGAAGTCCTGCACCATGACTCCCGAGCCTTCCAGATTAAGCCTGCTGCCCACACACTTCGCCTGCTCCCTAAGGAACAGGCACTCTACAGTCCAATCTCTCATCTTTTCTCTGAAGAAACCAACCTTCTCTCTGTTAACCCTTCTAACAAGCCACTTTCTACCCGTGCTCCGCTTGACTCAATTCTGCTCGTCTTTCAGGACCAAGGTAAACGTTCCTTCCTCAGAACAGCTTTGCTGACCCTTTGCAACATGCTCTGCTCTGCTGTCTCTCCCTTGGAGATTCCGTTTCAGAGGGAACAAGTCATTGGCATAGGGGTGGCAGAAATTAAAACAGATCTTGCCAAAACACAACACAGAGGCTGGGAAGCAAGATGACACATCAAAGCCACAGAGTAGGAGTACTCAGCAAAACAGCACACACACATAAACGGAGCCCACACTTGTATCTTAAGGTAAATTCACGTTAGACTTGTCAATGTTCTTCCTGCTCCGTGTCGAATGTGCGGTATGGAGAATCTACTAACGGGGAGGATTTTGCTTATCTTACTGCTATAGTTCTAAGGAGGGCGTGGCATCCCTCAGAAGGCGAATGGGGGCCAGCCATTCCTCTGAACCCAAGAGTCCGTTTCCCTTTCCTCTGCTTTCTCTCAGGACATCATAGACATTTTTTCACCATTGATTAAAACCATATGAAGCAGGCCAAAGATGCCTTCTAGGTGTCTACTGTGGCAAGAATGTCCTCACAGAATGAGGACAGATACAATAACTTACTGGTCCTTAAGTCCAGAGGGAGGCATGGGAAGGACCCACGAGGGGAACAATGACATTCCTGAGTATTGAGTACACAAAGGGACACCAACACAAAAGCGAACACCTTCCCTCTGCCTGTCTCTGCGTCTGGTGTTTGCTTACCTGATCATATTCTTAAGCGTCATCTCCACTGTCCATATCAATGTCTATCTCCTCCGTGTCAGCAGTCCGGGACAGGATGTCCGCCATCAGTGCTTCTTCCAATTTCTTGCGTACTTGTTGGACTCGCTCTTCCTGTTTCCTTTTCAAAATCAGAAGGAAATGAAACTGAAAATTTGGTAAGTAATAAAAATGAAACTACCCTGAGTGCCCGCCATCACTTGGAAAAGCACGCTTCCTAAGACTACCCAAGTGCTGGTTCTATACACACAAACCAACACTGCAAATTCCACCAGGGAAAAAAAAAATCAAAAGAACAGCTAGCTTCTCAAGGGTGGTTCTCTCTCATCTCAGGAGATTCTGGAGGAAGAGATGAACTTCAGCAGCCTTTTCCTCGACTTCACAGATTTCAAGAGTGTGAAGACTTGGAGCTGTCGACAACTTAAAAACGTAAAGCTATGAGGGGAGAGGACATGGGAAAGGAAGGAGGACAACTGTAGGTGAAGCATCACGGACATGCTAGAGGCACAGAAGGCTGGGCTCGCTCCGACATCCTATGGCTGAGTCAGGAGAGCGCAGGCCTGGGAAGCCAGCTTCACACGGAAGAGCCAGGACCACTGAAGGCCATGACTGCGGACACAGACCAAAGAGCATCTCTCCTCCTGAGATGAGCCTAGAAGGCCAAGACCGTTATCATGAACTTCTCTAGCTTGGTGACTTCAAGGTGACCTCAAAAGTGACAATAGTTCCACATCATAAAGAAGGCCCTAAACCGGTGGTGGCGCACGCCTTTAATCCCAGCACTCAGGAGGCAGAGGCAGGAGGATCTCTGTGAGTTCAAGGCCAACCTGGGCTACAGAGTGAGATCCAGGAAAGGCGCAAAGCTACACAGAGAAACCCTGCCTCGAAAAACCAAAAAAAAAAAAAAAAAAAGAAGGCCCTAAACTATTAGATGACCAACAAAACCCAGGATAGGGGGGCTACTAGAGGGGTTGGGGATTTAGCTCAGTGGTAGAGTGCTTGCCTAGCAAGCGCAAGGCCCTGGGTTTGGTCCTCAGCTGGAAAAAAAAAAAAAAAGACAAAATAACAACAAAAAAAAGAGGCTACTAAAATGTTCTGTAGCGCTATGGAGTCGGGACAGTGAGAGCAGCTCTCCGAGGAAGGAGGAACGGACATCCAGGAGCAAACAAGGAGGCCAGAGTGAGAAACAGCGAGAGCAAGGAAGAGGTGAGTGGGCTGGCTCCACACTGTGTGAGAAGACGAGGGATGGTCAGATGGACGGACGGACGGACGGACGGCCGCAGAAGAGGTGCAGAAGCTACTGACGTTTCCTTCCGTAAGGCAGACGGAGGGCAGCAGTGCACACACCCGGATGGCGGACAGGAAAGGAACATGTCTGGAGGACCATCAGATCCCTGGGGGGTTAGCCAGCTGTGGAGTCCCCTTTGTTCTCAAACCCAGGGCTGAAGGACACCACATCCAAGGTAAGGAAGGTAACATGCACCTTTCAGTCATGAAATCGCTTTCCATTTCTTTATTAAGAGAATTGGCACAAAGGATTACTAAGAGCAGCCTTCCAGTTCCTGAGTGAAGTTTCCAACCGGGCAGGCAGGCAGGAGGAAGGCAGTATAGGGTCAAGCTGACCTTTAGAGTTCCTTCACATTAGATGAAACTGGAGGGCAACAGGTGCTCGTGTGATGGAGCAGGGTCCAGAAGAAGACATTCGTTTATTTCTTACAGTTTGTCTCCTCCCTGGCCCAGTGACTGAAACCTTCTGCCAAGTGACATCTCAGTCACATTGGCAGTCTCCCCCCTAAAGACAGAGCAGGTGAGGTACAGACACCAGAATGACCCACCAAGGAAGGCAGGGGTGGGGCCCGCTGCATCTGTGAGAAGTCTCCTGAGCTCTAATGTATGTCACCAAGTTTCTTTGACTTTGAACATGATTTCCTGCCTTTATGCAGCAAACGTGCTTGCTGTAGGGGCAGGCAGATTCTATGATGCTCTCCAAGAGCCCCCCACAACCCACATATGTATACTGCTTGGGTAACTTCTCCCAGGAGGGTGGGTGACAATTGTGGATATGGTGAGATATCACTCTATAGTCGATTACTAATCTCAGACTCATTAATTAATCACAGGAAAGCTGAATCTAGTGAACCTAACCCAAGAAGAAGTGTCCTGAAAGAAAACTGTGCAGGCACACAGAGAAGCAAGCAGTGGAGAACCGCAGGGCACCTGTAAGGTACAGAGCAGCCCTTGTTCAGCAGTCAACAACTGAACAGGGTCTCAGCCCTGCAGCACACGCTGAACTTCATGTAAGTGTCTGAACTTAAAAGACTCCCATGCTCCCGAAGGGAAGATGGTCCAGACCGCACTGACCTCGGCCTAGTGGGGCTGAGCAGAGCCCAGGCTGTCCAATCACAGAACTGTGAGCTTGTAAATGACGTAAGCTTTGATTCAAGAGAATGTTACTAAGTATCAGAAAACAATTACCCCATGACTAAAAATATTACCAGGGATGCTGAGGAGATACACTTAATGCTGAGATTTTTAGCCAGTGCTCAGGCAGAAAGCACACACTCTACAGCTAGAACAGCAGAGAGGATCCGCAGGCCCCTGTGAATGAGTGAGATCGTCAGTTGGAAGCTTTGCAGAGGCAATGCTGGCTGCAGTTAGAGGAAGAGCAGCCATTCTTCTTCGGAAGCTGTGCCAATTCAACAAGGAAAGCTGCTTAAGAATTCCTGTTACACCAGCTACGTCAAGTGATTGTCACACACATAAGCCAAACCCCAACATGGTTTTAAGACCTCTGCTATAAAAAGGTCTAGTTTTGAAGCCATCAGCATTCCCAGAACCCCAGTCCAAACCCTTAACAACTTGGTGAAAATCCTGTTCATGCTCGCTGTGTTTATACCAAGGAGGAAAAAAACCTTGTGTCCCACATAATTATCTTCCTCAAGGTCACATGATCCATAGAACAGCTTCATCTCTTGCTTTGATTTTTATATTTTGTTTTTTAAAATTCTTCAAAAATAAAGTTGATTGCAAATTTTAGGAAACCAAAGCACATGAATACAACCTTGAACTGTTTTCTATCTTTTCAAGAGATTACTTTAAAGCCCAAGAATGGTTTTCCAATTATAAACCTAGCTAGACTCACACACTTAGGAACATTTCCATATCAATCTTTTATAGATTTAGATGGAAACAAATACAAACAGAAAACTATTTTAAATTGGATGATTCCAAACTGCCATCTGCTGGTTTTGTCTAGGAATGATAGTCCAGGAAAACTGACAAATTCAAATAGAAACAGTGAAGAACACATATATACTGCAATGTTTCTAAAAAAAAAAATGCAATATACTGAGGCATTATTATCATCACTGCAAAGTTATGGTACCAAAGTTCAAAAGTCCCAGAAAGTAATTTCCTTGTGATCTCACTATTCACCATATTACTTCTCTGAAATAATAGTTTGCTTATACTTCAGGGTGCTGCCAATCCAAACCAGATTTTCCTTTTTCTGTTGTTGATAAACACCTGCTTTGTGGCCCAGCCTTAGAAAGAATGAAAGCTATTTACAGATGTAACTATATCTTCTTGTATTCCTGACTCTGTTTACCTCCTTGCTCTGTCTTGCTCATTTGCTCCCCATCTAGCTCTACTGTATGAGTATGTGTGTACATGTATGTGCATGTGAGGATGCTTGGGGGGGGGTGAGTGCATATTTATGTGTGTGTGCATGTATGGTGTGTGTCTCTGGAACAATTTAAATCTTTTCATGTAACAATAAAGCAGATATAAGTAAACCTCTACACTGAGCTTGAATGAAATAAATATACTCATGATAACAAAACTGAACTTTAAAATGCAGCTGAGCCTTACGGCAGCAAGGCTACCTACACCTCTTTAAAGAAAGGTTGGTTTGCAGACAAACCAATGCACAAAGATTCACAAAGCCATGGGGAACAAGGAAATGGTGGGGTTTGGGATTAGAATACATGCCTTGAATGCTAGAGTCCTGGGTTTCAATTTCGAGCACTCCAAGAGGCAACTCAAAACTAAAAAGAAACTGCATAAAAGGCCTGATGGATCAAAGGAGCTCATTAGAGCTGAACTCCAGAGGCACCAACTGTAAAACTGCTGCCCTGAGAACATGACTAATGTGCTGATGACATTCTTGTGATGGTCACTCTGATACAAAGCCTATTTTCAGGAATATTTTCCTTACAAAGATCTTTATCACTTTTCCATTCATTTCAGAAAAGCTCTGTGTCTTAGTCTGGGTTCTATTGTTGTGATGAAACATCATGACCAAAAGCAACCTGAGGATAAAAGGGTTTATTTATGTACTTTCATGTCACAGTTCATCACTGAAGGAAGTCAGGGCAGGAACTCAACAGGGCAGGAACCTGGAGGCAGGAGCTGCTGCAGAGGCCATGGAGGGGTGCTGCTTACTGGCCTGCTTCCCATGGCTTGCTCAGCCTGCTTTCTTCTAGAACCCAGGACCTCCAGCCCACGGGTGGCACCGCCCACAGTGAGCTGAGCCCTCTCACATCAGTCACTGCCCTACATGGTTGCCTATAGCTGATCTTAGAAAAGCATTTTCTGAATTGAGATTCCCTCCTTTCAGATGACTCTACCTTGTGTTAAGTTAGCATAAAGCTAGCCAACACACTCTGTAAAACCCAAACTATGATTTCTGATAGATTCATCACTTATAGATTGGGAATTTATTTTTTAATCTAAAAGGCAGGCTTGGAAACAAAAGAAATTTATTTTTTTTCTTTTCTTTTTTTTTTTTTTGGAGGATTTACACACACACAGAGATATCTTGGGTATGGGACTTAAGGCTGGACACAGAATTCACTTCCGCGTCACATACACTTTATACACCTAGTGTAAGGGTAATAACATCCATGGCACATGAAGCAAAGTTGTAGGGCATCAAACTGTTCATTTATGGTGTCATATCAAACCTCAAAAGGCTTCAGATGTTGAACTTAGTTTTAAGTTTTGAATACAGGATGATCAACTGTACTAGCTGTGACACTGAATGTAAGGCTTTTATAAAAAATTATCTACGGGCAAAACCAAGGTGTTTCAAGTCATGTTAAAATGCCTTACCTAATGTCTTCATCTGTGACAATGAAAGCTTTGCAGAGGGGTTGAGATGTGTTAAGCCAGACAGCAGGGTTCTTTTCCACAGCCGCAGAGACTTGCCCTGTGATTGGTGCAGAGCTTGTATGCAGAGCACTGGCCACGGCAGACAGAAGGGTCTCATCGTTACTACCCGGGCCGACTCCTGCAATGAGAACGCCACACTGCTGAAAGAGAAGCGCTCCTGGGCCAGTGGGCCTGCCCCTGCCTAAAACACCCAGTGTTCTCATGCTCACTTAGGATCACACAGGCAAACCTGAGCCACACCAAGCGACAAGGAACAATCCATAACCACTAATAGCTACTATGGACCAAAGGACCGACATCAAACAGTGACCTTCAAACAAAACTTCAACTTGAAAATACATTTCTTAAGGCCCTAAACTTTTGAAAAGTTATGTCCATTTTCTCAAGAAGGGCCAACTACTTAAATAATCTAAGATCCCTATAAGATCACCATGCTATGCTCAAGTATCCCTATTAACATAGCCTGGATCAATTTCTTCCTATAGCTTTTAATATCAATTTCTAGGAGTATCTCTATTCTTATCATCTTTATTCTGAAACTTCAGGGAATGTCAAGGCAAGCATGGCATATCCAAAACTTAATCATCTTTTTCAAAAGACCAAAAAAAAAAATTTAGATTCCTAGAATAAGTGCATACCCTCATGCTTGTACGGGCCTCTCGCCACAGCAAAATTTAAGTGAACTGATCAAAGTTCTGAACTTATTTAAAGCATAATTTCTAAGAAAATACAAGTAAGAGATAATGGCACAACTGTACATTTGGAAGATTTTTGAGAAATCTACGCTAAGTCAAGATTGAGGACTGAAATTCTAGTCCTTGAGAAATAATGCAAAACCCTTGAATGAGGCATAACCCTATTGGCCCCTGAGTCCTTACCCCAGAATCACAAGGCAATACCGTGGGCCAGAGTATGTATTCCTATTGTAACCCACACAGCAGAGATACAGGAGATCTCGGAGTTGTTCTGTTAGTGTAAGAAGATAAGAGAAAGAAAATGCTGGGGTGAGATGCTGCTACTTGGGAAGCAGGACACTTGGGAAACACTTGGTTCATCTGTAGTTAGTGCTAAAAGCAGCACACGGGTTAAAGGAGATGACAAGGCTGACCTGGAGCCAAACATTTCACACTGAAGAAAAAGAAACGCTAGGTGACATACAATACACCAGCAACCCTAGGACACGCTTGTCATGTATGTTTTCCCTCAGTTTATAACACAAGAAGCATGCCATCCAGCAAAGCACATGGTCCCCCAAAGCAAAGGCCTGCTGCTACAAGTCAACTGTAGATTGATGCACAGTACCTAATTACAGTGCCTGGCACACAGTAAGTACTTAATAAATATTTATTCAACTAAACTTAGATAGTACCTTGAAGGCCTTTGGGTAGCTCCATGGTTTTTATAATTTGTTCCGTTACATCCGACGCACTAAGTCCTTGCAGCCTCTTCTCCCAGAAAAGCTGTAAGGCAAAAATACCAGTTAGTAGACACACTCCCTGCTGCTGAACAATGCAATGTAAGTCATTTCTGTAGTTTCCTATGGTTTTCTGATTTTTTTTCCTTACAGCAAGCTAAATGAAACTCCAAACAAGAATTTTTCAACACATCCTAACTCCTTCAGATGAATTTACTCAAAAAGTGCTGTTCTGATTCTGCGTACTCAAATTGCTACAATATTACAGGCTGTTGTGGGTTATAAAGCTATATAAAATTGCTCATAAGGTATCCTCAAAATAATGTAATAATTTGAATTTTTAAAAATTCATTTAGCACAAAATGCCAATGTTAAAATTTATCAGAGATAGAAAACAAACAATAATATCCAATATCTTTGTGGAAACATGATTTTTTCTAAGACATTTATATGGTTAGCCTTTCAGTACAATTTAGGGGAGTAAATACTATACTTATTATTGATAGAAATTTTTGCAAAACATCTTCATACCAGTCATGAATCGCTTTCTCCCTGTTGCACAGGTCCCTGGGTCACTTGACCACCCAGTGGTCCCAGATTACTGTTCTGGTGTTAGTGAGCACCAAAGGCGCTCCCTGCCCCAGGGAGCTACTGGGGTAGACAATGTCTTTTCAAACACAACAGTACACTTTTACTCTACAGACTGTTCGGATTTTACTCTTATGTCTCACTGAATGTGTCCATCCGTGCAGCATATTCTCTGAGTTCCTAACACACACTATGCATGTCTTGTGGATGCATAATCAACAATGGTCCTTATCCTGCTTCTTTTTAAACCCCCATCATATTTACTGCAGACATGGAAAAAAACAAGGAATTCTATAGGACTCTCTTCCTTCCTTGGCCATGTTTTACTTCTTCAAACGCTTTAATTCCATTTTACAGAAACGGAAGCAATGGCTATGACACAGGATTACTGTGGAGAGTAAATAAGGTAATATACGTCAAGTACCTATCATACAGCAATCATAAAACTTACTATATTTACTTTGAGCACCATCTGGCTACTTTGGGGGCTTTGGGGAGCTTAATATGTAAAGTCATCAGATAAGCACCCATCAGACAAATGAGAAGATATAGCAATATAAATCTCATTATGGCAGAATAATATTATGTTGTGTTTATAATAACCTCAAAACGGGCACCAAGAGTAACCTCCAACAAAGTGCCTTATAGACCTTTTGTATAGTTATATAGTTACGGGTCTTACATCTTTCTACAAGTAATATTCTCAGTAGAAATAGAAAATGTAGCCAATTAAGCAGTCAGTCAATACTAGGAAGATGTGAAAGTATGATGATTATCATAACCGTCCCGAGAAATCCTTTCTGCATTCTATTTACTCCTTGGTATGAAAATGTTATCTTTGTTTGGAATACCACAGCTATTATTTTTAATAAGTAAAGGAAATAAAATCCAGTTAAATTTCTCATTAATATATGCAGAATTTAGAGCTGGGAAGACAACTGTCAGTCAAGTGTTTGTCTTGAAATAATGAGGACCTGAGTCCCATCTCCAGAATCCAAGTGAAAATTCCAAGCATGGTGGCACAGGACTGTAATGCCAGCACTGGAGAGGGAGAGGCAGATCCCTGGGGCTTGCTGTCAAGCCAGCCAGCTCAGCCCAATTGGTGAGACAGGCCATTAAGAGAATCTGTCTCAAAGGGGGTGGATGGCATTCATGAGGATAACAGTGGAGGTTGTCCCCTGGCGCACACATACACACATATAAACACACACATAAAAATATATGTGTAGATCCCAAAGATATGTACGTGTGTGTTACATACGTATGTACATACACACAGTTATCCTACTGTTTTGCCAGTTCATATTCACTGGTCAACTCACTACAGAAAACTGCCTATGTACTAGACATGTGCAAACTTTTTGAAATTATTCTCTAAACACTAAACTATAATAACAATTTACTCAGCATTCACATCACATTAGCTGTTAGAAGTAACTTAGGTACAAGCTAAAGGATAGAGGAAATGTGCAAGGCTAATGTGCTGGCATTACACCATCTTACATGGTATAACACGGCCATGGACACAGAAGACTTGAGCAGCTTATGGACCTGGATGTTAGTAGATGGTCCTAGAACCAATCTCATGAGGAAGAAATGACTCGACAACTTAATTTGTAAAAATAAAACAAGAGTACCAAAAACTAAAAGTATGGAGATTATGGGTGGTTATGATTGTCAATATTTTATACCTAAAATTCTAGTTCCAGATACCAAAAGATATACCAAAACTTACTACGTTTTATTTTGAACTTTTTATCAATCAGAGGGAAAATTATACAAAAAGTCAGAAGAAAATCAAGAAAAATATTGGATTAAAACATGGGTACATGGCTCTTGTTTTTACCACGTTATAATACTGCTGGAGCAGCTCCCCAAACTCTATGATCTATTTTCACTATCCTCAGTCAGTTTATAACTCACACTCCTTGGGGAGAGTGGGGAGGGGAAAAGTCTTCTTTTGCCTCAGTCAACCTTCCTAATGCTGCAACCCTTTAATACAGTTCAACAAGTTGTGGTGACCTCCAACCATAAAATTATTTTTGTTGGTACTTAATAACTGTAATTTTGCTACTGTTATTAATCATAATACAAATATCTGCTATGCAGGACATCTGATATGCGGCACACAATATGTGACACACATATGTGACCACAAAGGGGTCACAACCCACAGGTTGAGAACAGCTGGCCAAAATGTTTCTCAAGGTCGTCATGAAGTTCAGATGTTTACTAGGATTAGACGATGTTCATCTGGAGTTTTCCTCAGTCAATCCCTGTTCAACAATAGCAATACTGACATTGCAGGTCCTTCCAAATCTGTAAGGTGGCCTAGTTCCCTTTCTGGGCTGTGATAAAACACCCTGACAAAAGCAACTTGAAGAGAGAGATGATTTATTTAGCCTACAATTCCAAGTCACTGTCCTTCATGTCAGGGAGAGTCAAGGCAGAAACTTGAAGCATTAGTCACACCACAATGAAGAACACGGAGAGAATGACTGCATGCCCACCTCTAGGATTTAGCTTCCTTTCTCCACTCTTACTGTATTTCAGAACCCTGAAGCCAAAGGAATAGTACTGCCGACAGAGAGCTACATCACACATCAATGCACATCATCAAGGCAATCCTCTATAGATATGTGCACAAAAATGATCTAGACAACCAGACTTAGAAAACTCGTGGAGACTCTCTTCCCCAGTGATCCTAGACTGTTTCAAGTTAACAAAACTATCACAGGAGTCCCCATTTTACCATGGCTACCTAGACTCTCTCAGTACATTTTGTAAACACTACCATTGTCATCAATTCTAACATGAAAATCTGATTTTACCTGCCTAATTCAATGATTTTCTCAACTTAGTCTTGCTGCCTGCCCTGACACCAAATGATCAATAAATATAATACTTAAGAGAAACATTGATTTAATAATTGAATCAAGTCACAAAATCAATGCACTATCACCTTCAACCTTCAGTTATTAAGTACCTTTCTAATCCTTACCAACGAAATCGCTGAGTGCCTCTAAGATCTTCTTGTCATACTCCAGAATACTAAAAAAATCAGACAGCTCCCAAGTGAACATCACTTTCTATTGCCCATGGTCTCAGCAATGGCCTTTCAAATAAACCACCTGACTGTGGCAAAAATATCGGATGGGATTAAACATCACTTGTAAGCACTAAGCACCGAAAAGGTCAGCAATGGGCCATGCTGAAGAAGCATTCTGGTCACTACAAGGCCCCTGCCTCACTGCGCCTTCTTCTCTCGGATCTTGACTTAACACGGATATTAGGGCATTAGTCAGGCACAGCTGCCTGCACTTTATCTACCCTGGCTTCCCAAAGGGACAAACAGGATGGTGTGTCACAAAAGCCATTTCTTTCATGAGACCAGCCACCAAATATGTTTACTGAAAGTAAAACTAATCCCAAACACAACTGTAACATCTTTGCTTTTGAACTGCTAAAGTTTAACTTGGGCTTTGAAAGCTGTATTAGCTTGTCTTTAGAAGAACATCATGAAGATGAGGAAGAAACGGGAATCAAAACCACACACAATTCTGGAGCTCCAGAAACTGAGCTGCTAAAACATTTATCATTATACCCGTCCACCACCCTGAGAGCATTAACTCATACTCTGAACAGATTTACACTCTTTGAGAAAGTCAGATTCATGGGAAGCCGGTAAGTCCTGACTGGATGAGTACTGTTGGCATGAGCACGGCCATGTCAAAACCTCCAATACCTCAGATCCATAAGAATGCCAAGGGCAGGCTCGGGGAATGTCAAGGCCTTCCCCAGGGCAGGCTCGGGGAATGGAAAGGCCTTCCACTGGTCCTGGTACCAGTGTTGACAGTGTGTGCAGAAAGTATCAACCAGGGCTTCATCCTCTGAGATGATTGCAGCCTGAGACTGCTTCCCTACAGAGACCTCCCCACTACCAAGATTAACTCACCCATCTCCTCACTCAGATGTATATGATAAACACACTGAATTTCCGGCGGCTGGTAGGCTCCGTACGCTCCATCAGAGCATACCAACCCCCATCCCAGCTTTCCCATAAGTGTGTCTGTCTATTATGTCTTCATTCTTGGTTGCCATCAGGTCAATCCCAAAGCTGTGCAGGCTGCAGCACAGAAAGGGGTGGTTCACAGGGAAAGGATATCAGAGAATCAATCCCAGCTCAGTAAGTATTCTTTGAGCATCCATCCAATGCACAGTGTTTGGTAGGTACTGGGTGTTCATGTACTGGCTAAGGAGCTCTGTTTAGTGAAAATAAACAAAGCCAGGGAGACCACTGAGACTGTAATAATAGCAACACAACATTAATCTCATCATTAGAGAATGGGGGAAATGTACAGGCATGTTCTACAGGCAAACAGAAATGAAAAGCAATGCCTACCCAAAGAAGTAGCTTAAGCACTAACCATCATTCCTTAGTAGTTTTACACAGAGCAG